GTTGAGATTTTTGATGTTTGGGGCATTGATTTCATGGGACCGTTTCCCAAATCTTTTTGTTTCGAATATATCCTCCTTGCTGTAGATTACGTGTCCAAATGGGTCGAGGCTATCCCCACACGGACATGTGATGCTAATGTGGTTATTAAGTTTTTGCGAGGAAATATCTTGAGCAGGTTTGGATTTCCACGTGCCATCGTGAGCGATGGAGGCAAACACTTCTGTAACCGGATTTTTGAGAAGTTGATGAAGAAATACGGAATTTCGCACAAGGTGGCCACCCCATACCATCCGCAGACGTCGGGGCAAGCAGAAACGAGCAACAAACAGATTAAGACTATTCTTGAAAAGACGGTGAACTCGTCTAGGAAGGATTGGTCGAACAAGCTCGATGATGCACTCTGGGCCCAAAGGACGGCATACAAGGGAGTATTGGGGATGAGCCCGTTCCGGCTAGTCTACGGGAAATCATGCCATTTGCCAGTCGAGATCGAACACAAGGCATTCTGGGCGATCAAAAAGATGAATTTCGATGTTGATGCTGCCGGACGAGAAAGGATGCTGCAACTCTCGGAGTTAGAAGAATGGAGAAACGAAGCCTACGAGAATTCCAAAATATACAAGGAGAAGACAAAAAGGCTTCATGACGCCACTCTTGTTCGAAAGAACCTCGAGCCCGGGATGAAGGTACTTCTCTTTAATTCTCGCCTTCGTCTTTTTCCCGGAAAACTCAAGTCCCGTTGGAGTGGGCCGTATATAGTTGATGAGGTGTTGTCATTTGGAGCTGTCCGTTTGCGTAATCCGGCAAACAACGATTTATTCTTGGTTAACGGGCAGAGAGTGAAACCATATTATGATGGCGAATTCGGAAAGAGGCATGTCGAGACCGTCAGTCTCGGCGACCCTATTTATGCGTGATCGAGATTTATGCCGAGCTCCCGGCGTTAAACCGAGTATCCTTTGTACTGCTGTGTATCTGTTTTATTTCTTCTATTTATATATATATATAAAAACAA